AGCCCTGTAGCAAAAGGTAGTACGATAAGAGCTGTTCGTTACATCCAACATATATATCATAGTTACTCAGAATCTCTGTCCAGACAATGATTTTTGGAAATATTGGGTGTTAATTTGGCATGTTATATTGGGATTGGAATCTGTCCATAATCAGAAACTCTGATGATTTTCTTGACAATTCATATAAATAGTACATTCATTCGAGAAACGTGTGTAAAACGAAGCTTGATTACGAATCATGAGTTTCGAGAAGATTTTGTAAAATTCAACTCTTCTGTCGAAATCATTTCCTGCTTTTTGTAAGGGTGGAGATTGTGTCGATGAAGAAAACTTTTGTATGACTCACCTTTGAGGCGTGGAACCACTTAGTCAAAGACTGAGTACTAGGCATCAATGCCTTCGTTGTTGATTATTCCTGAACAGTCATGTCGTCACTATTTCAATTCGCTCTTGAAGAGTATGAACCATTTTTTATGAAAGAAAGGATAATGAAAGAAGCAATAACCCGAGTTCAAATATGACAGAAAAACAACTTCAGTACTAAAACTAAGCCGATAGTCACCAAGAATAATTGTAATACAAAAATAACCATATTGTGTACTTTAACAAGGAATTTTCCAACGCGAAATCTTATTTTTCTTATTTTTATGAGAATCACTCAACATTGCTCAGTTTTTTAAATAATGAAATTGGGTTTGCAAGTTGACCTAGTTTGAAATTTAATGAAAATTTGACATAATATTTTTATTTTTTCTGGTATTGCTTACCGTTGTAACGCCAAATATGTTATGGAGTTGGATGCATTATTTGAAAGACCTTTCAAATAAGGAAGCAAGAAACTCTTTCGAAGGTTCGAAATAGAAGAACACTTCAATCTAGCAGACCACTGTTATAATCTTCATGCAGTCATTGGCGTTGAATCCGGCCATTATTACGCATTGGTCAAAGACGAAAGATGGTTGTGTCATGAAGTGTTCTGGCGATGTATTGAATCTATTGGAGCCTCTGGAGACACCCTACATTTTGTTTTATGAGAGAGAGAACATTGTTAGATCAAGATCTTCAGATGATGTGGTGCTGCAGGTTTTTCCGGGTTTTCCTGCAGCTGAAAAAGCAAATGCGCCATTGGAATCAATGAAGTCACCCCGGAGCGCCAATTAATTTTTATTGTTGTTTTTATTTTTATCATTGTTTTATCAGTTATTTTAGTTTATTTAAATACAGGTGTTACTCGACTATCATTTTCATTTGGAAATGTTCACATGAGCTGACCTTGCTTTTCACGTAATAATGTGTCCCTCTCAAAACTCAAGTTAACGAGTTTAACGATTTTTTCACAGTTCCAATATCAAATGAAATTGTCATATTAAAAAAATATCTTGCAAACGCGATAATCAAGTGTGAAGGGTTACTTTTAGATAATTCAAAATACCGATAAATCCCAAATCCAAACTCCTTTGTGAAAGGCATTCTCTGAAAACCATCGCAAAACTTTTCTATCTTTCAATTGCTGGAAATGTTCATCATCCTCCAAACAAATTATTTTCGAAATGTTGTCTCACATTATGGTCTCCAATGAATCATTTGGATTGCGATTCACTCTTTTTATGTCCACAAAAAAGAACTTAAGTCGTGTGACCGAGGGGGTCATTCAATTCCACTCCTTTATCGTATCCAATGATCTCGAAACCTGTCGTTGAAATAATTACGCACATTTTGTGAGTAGTGTGGAGGAGAACTATATTGTTGAATTGTTAAGTCATCATTGAAGCAGGATCATTTTTCACATTCTTAACGGAGATAATGTTGGGGCAATAGATTTTGTTTGCTCAAGATATAAAAATAACAAACGGAAAAATGAAGAGCTTGCTGGATAAACTGTTGCTGCCTTCCTGGTTAATAGTAGAAGTGGCAATTGACAAAGTTCATTGTTACGAAAGTGGAATAAGTGAAACGAATGAGAAGATACCTACTTTGTCTTCGCGTAGCTGGTTATGAATTCGGTGAATAATTGCACCATTTTTTCGTCATCAGCTTCAAGTCAGGTAAATCGTTTCAGTGTTTCTTGATAATATTTGTTATTTGTGTATAAAACAGGCAGTATTATATTATAGCAGTGCTTTCTGGTAATATTTTTATTGTGTTTTTAAAGTGTTTTCTTTCAATTTCAAGGTGTTTTCAGGTTGTCACTTTTCGGAAACCTATTCTATTCATGTCTATTTTGGGATGTGTGTGGTGTAATATTTATCGACTATCTTGAGAAAGGAAATACCATAAACAGTGAAAGTTATATAGCGTTATTGGATCGTTTGAAGGCCGAATTTACAAAGAAACGACTGCATTTGACTTCCATCGAGACAACGCACCGTGTCACAAGTCAATCAAACCAATGTCAAAACTACATGAACTGAACTTCAAATTGCTCTCACATTCACCGTATTTGCCAGATTTGGCTCTTAGCCTCAGAAAAAATGCTCACCGGTAAGAAATTTTGCTCGAATGAAAAGGTTATTGCTGAAACTTAGACCTATTTTGAGGCAAACGGTAAATGATTCTACAAAAAAGTGAAGACGGCGCTGGAATGATTGTGTGGCTTTTGATGGAGATTACGTTGATAAATAAAGCCAATTTTAAACAAAAAAACGCGTTTTCTTTCTTAGGCCCGGGAATTTTCAGTCCATGTGCTAGAAAGTTAGAATATGGAAAATAACTTTTGTCTAATTTCTACTAAGATTTTAATTCGTGTTTTTGGATCAATAGTTGATAATTTTCATATGTTATAGAAGTTAAATAACTATTGTTTTGGTATTTCAGATAAGGTATTGATAGATAATTCTTATTATTTCAGGTACCAAAAGGACATTGACTGTATCATTGTATATTTGAAGATTTGTTTGTCACAATACGTCAGTTTACTTGAAAATGGTTAAAAAAATCAAAACCGGTTGTAACAAATAAAAATCTCAGTAGAAGTTAGACAANATATCTATATATACAATAAATATTTTTCAAAGTAACCCGGAATTTTTTTTCATTAATTTTTTTAAGAGTATTCGGTAGCTCATTGTAAAATTTGATACCTTAATAATAAATCGAATTTTGCTCTAGGTAATCATAATTGAGCATGTACTTTAGGTATATAAAAGTTGAGTAGATGCTTCAGGTAATTATAAGTGAGTAAGTACCTGAGTGAGTTAGGTTTGGTTAGGTCCAAAGAGAGTGAGTCTATTCGAGCCCCCACCGCAACCTGCAAGGGTTTATTGTGGTTGACACCTATTCACATTCGACCAAATAAATCCAGCTTCTTAACGAAGCCGATTAGTTTGTATGGTGAGTGGTCTTTCAGGTCAGATGGTAAGAGTACGGCTCTGTCGAACTCTAAAAATCTGATTTGGTCCCCAGTGGGGAAGGCACAAAGTATGTGCTCTGCTGTTTCATCATTTTCCAAACAGAGGCGACACACACTGTCTTCCGACAGTCCGAGTCTCTGCATATGATGATTCAAATGATATAATCCAACGCCTTCATGGTATTAGCTAGGGGAGTAGTTGTTTTCTGTTAGGTGTCAGACCATTAACCCACAGTGTAGGGAGTTGAAACTAACCTGAACGAGTTGTTCCTTGAGATGATTCGATTTATAGCCAGTCTTCAAGTATGCCCACTGACTATATGTAAAAAATACTATCTCAGTATACAATTTTACTTATATTACTCAAAATGAATCAACATCCACAACATCTAACATGAGATCAACCTATCTGTCAATTCACATTAAGAAAAATGTTCTTATTTCAACACAATAATCGTGAAATATGTCAACTCTAGTTTTGAGGAGGACAAATTTTCACATAAAAATCATATCCTTGTTAGCTACCTCCTTCCCCATAATAACTCACATGTCAAGAATTTTAAACCTGTGAAACCCCTCTTTCCAATCCATCGACTCGGACACTGTCGCACTGGCACTACACAACCAGAGAGAAGGCCATTTTGTTGAGAAACTGTCCCATTTCGTAATGGAGGATCGAACTTGATTATTTTAGAAAATTGAAATCTCCCTAACTATTTAGGTTTGCTCCAAAAAGAAAGTAGATATATCATAGTTACTCAGAATCTCTGTCCGACATTGATTTTTGGAAATATTGGGTGTGAATTTGGCATGTTATATTGGGATTGGAATCTGTCCATAATCAGAAACTGATGATTTCCTTGACAATTCATATAAATAGTACATTCATTCGAGAAACGTGTGTAAAACTAAGCTTGATTACGAATCATGAGTTTCGAGAAGATTTTGTAAAATTCAACTCTTCTGTCGAAATCATTTCCTGCATTTTGTAAGGGTGGAATTTGTGTCGATGAATAATTCTGAACACTTTTGTATGACTCACCTTTGAGGCGTGGAATCACTTAGTCAAAGACTGAGTACTAGGCATCAATGCCTTCGTTGTTGATTATTCCTGAACAGTCATGTCGTCACTGTTTCAATTCGCTCTTGAAGAGTATGAACCATTTTTTATGAAAGAAAAGATAATGAAAGAAGCAATAACCCGAGTTCAAATATGACAGAAAAACAACTTCAGTACTGAAACTAAGCTATCAGCTTAGTTTCAGTACTGTCACCAAGAATAATTGTATTTTTAGTTTATTTAAATACAGGTGTTACTCGACTATCATTTTCATTTGGAAATGTTCACATGAGCTGACCTTGCTTTTCACGTAATAATGTGTCCCTCTCAAAACTCAAGTTAACGAGTTTAACGATTTTTTCACAGTTCCAATATCAAATGAAATTGTCATATTAAAAAAATATCTTGCAAACGCGATAATCAAGTGTGAAGGGTTACTTTTAGATAATTCAAAATACCGATAAATCCCAAATCCAAACTCCTTTGTGAAAGGCATTCTCTGAAAACCATCGCAAAACTTTTCTATCTTTCAATTGCTGGAAATGTTCATCATCCTCCAAACAAATTATTTTCGAAATGTTGTCTCACATTATGGTCTCCAATGAATCATTTGGATTGCGATTCACTCTTTTTATGTCCACAAAAAAGAACTTAAGTCGTGTGACCGAGGGGGTCATTCAATTCCACTCCTTTATCGTATCCAATGATCTCGAAACCTGTCGTTGAAATAATTACGCACATTTTGTGAGTAGTGTGGAGGAGAACTATATTGTTGAATTGTTAAGTCATCATTGAAGCAGGATCATTTTTCACATTCTTAACGGAGATAATGTTGGGGCAATAGATTTTGTTTGCTCAAGATATAAAAATAACAAACGGAAAAATGAAGAGCTTGCTGGATAAACTGTTGCTGCCTTCCTGGTTAATAGTAGAAGTGGAAATTGACAAGGTTCATTGTTACGAAAGTGGAATAAGTGAAACGAATGAGAAGATACCTACTTTGTCTTCGCGTAGCTGGTTATGAATTCGGTGAATAATTGCACCATTTTTTCGTCATCAGCTTCAAGTCTCTTTGGGGTACCGAACATTTTGAAGAGTAGTCTTCCGTCATCACAATGGCTCACTCCTGAAAATATCATTTTGTGTTAGTATAACTGTACCTTAGACCAGAAGGGTCATGAGGATGTTTAATATTATTTTAACAAAATTCATAGTTATAACTGTGAATTTACCGTTGAAAATGTGAATTCACACTTATAACTGTAAAATTTACGATTATGACTGTGAATTTACACTTCACAAAGTAAAGATTGATGATCAATCACCACCAAAACTGATACTTTTTTGAACACCTTGTTTGTTCTTTTGATGTAACATGACGTGAAGATTGTTTGATACTTATTTAACAATTCTTCTTTTGAAATTTCACCTTCATTTTTCAATTCATTACCCTCCAAGAGCGATACAACCAGTATACTTTTCACATATAGTCAGTGGGCATACTTGAAGACTGGCTATAAAGCAAGTCATCTAAAGGAAAAATTCGCTCAGGCCAGTCTCAACTCCCTACACTGTAGATTAATGGACTGACACCTATCAGAAAACAACTACTCGCCTGACTAATACCACGAAGGGCGTTGGATTATATTCGACAAGTGTCAGTGTAGGATTCTTCACTGAAGTTATTTCTGCATATATGCTGTTGGCGATACAACTGCCGCATTAGATTTTCAATTATTGGAACACACTTTCAGACCGGTTTCGGGAACGAATTCTTCCTTTAGATGATTTGATTTATAGCCAGTCTTCAAGTATGCTCACTGACTATATATGAACAGCTTTTTTTCCTTACAAGAGGAATTGGTTAAATTTCGAATACCTCGTTCACAGGCAGATGGGGCGATGACAAACCTGTTTTTTGTTGTCCGCTTCAGCCTAGTTCGGGGAATGTTACTCTGAAAGAATTCGATTCTCAATTATTGGAAATCATCGACTTTATTTTGATTATAGGTACTACACTGCAATGACGAGTGGTCAAACAGCCCTAAACCGGCCTGCAAGTACGTCCATTAACCCACAGTGTAGGGAGTTGAGACTGGCCTGAACGAATTGTTCCTTTAGATAATTCAACGCACAGTATAATACACTTTACAACATTTCTACATTTTTATCTTGGGCGTATGATTTCGTAAAAAAACCCATATCTCTTCCTAGAGACCATTTTTAAATTTGACGAAGAGATAACAATCACTGGGTATAGATGTAGATAACTTGGTGTGTGATTGGTGCAATCATAGTCGTTGACTTGTGTTAAAGAACAAATTTTCTTCCCTGTTCGGGCCATTTTTAGAATTCATTTTATGGCGATGCTCAAATATTGTAGAGAATTCCCTTGAGAGCCCTGGCTGGGCAGAAATTATGATTTATGTTACATATGAACCACTGAAAATCATGTTAATTGGGAAAACGGTTTAAGAAAAAGTTTGTTCGAGGTGTATTGAATTGATTTTTGAAGGGATGTCTGGTTGAGTCGGTCTAACACTTCCTATTAAATTATCTATAGAAGAAAGTTGAGTTGTTAAAGTTCTGTCGATGTCTCAGGTTATCAAGGTTATTTCTGATGTTTCAGTACAAAGGAATCATTTTTAGTACTTTTTTATAAAGTGTGACATCACTTGCCATCTAGAGGACGATATAACACTTTTTTTAATGATGAGGGGGGTCTTGTAAAATTTCGTGTGGAAGGTATTCCAGTTCTCTATAAAATGACCTTCAGAGAGAGAGAGAGAGAGAAAGAGGGAGAGGGAAAGAGAGAGAGAGAGAGAAAGAGAGAGACAAGAAGCATGATAATGACATCTCTCATGGAATTCAGTTTGTGAAAGTGTGTCCATGTTGAAACTATGGAACAATTGGAACAGTTCTGGTGGAAGTGTGAGAAAACTCAATGTCAAATTTTGAATTTAATCAATAGAATTTCACAATTTTTAGGTGTGTGAAGAAAAACGTACCTATCATTTTGTTTAGGAAAATATTGAGTAATGAATGATAGTTAGATCTGAAAGTAGTACACTATTTGAAGCCAATATTATATTATTTATTCATTGAATATATGTAAAGAAGTTAAAGTTTTTGCCAATCTCCAATCTATACACCAATAACTCGGCAACCGGTTATACAGATTGAAAACAGTATAGGTCTTTGTAGAGAAAATTGAAATAACATTCGAGCGAGGGGTCACAAACCTTCTTTTCTATTTGTAAAAGAAAAGTTGTTAACACCCTCTCTACGGCGAGTTATATCACACTATTGACTTTTTATCGAAGAGTACTAAAAACTCCTTTTCGTTCAAATATCGTACATCTTTGATATCCTGCCCGTTCAAAGGTTGAGAGAGGGGAACTACTTACGTCCGCAATCTACGAGCAATATTCTAAAGTAGGTCTAATTTGAATTTTATGAAAAGCATTTGGAGTTTTAAACAACGTTTCAATTTTAGCAAATGTTCTGTGTGAATAAAAATTTGCTTTTGCTAAAGGGATTGTGTCAGACATGGTCAACAGACCATGATATTGACAGTCGTTTAAGATGTTGAACCATTACAAATTTTTAGAAATATATTGATATGATTTTCGAAATTGCTGACAGTAAAGCAATCATTGCATATTTGATATTCTCAGGGTATACTTTTCACTTGGTAGTTTCAAACTGGTAGAGTTCTAATTCGATAGACTTTTAACTCGGTAGATTTTCTGATTGGTTGACATTAATATTGGTTGACATTAATATTGGTAGAAATATAACTGATATACTTTCAATTGTCAATTGATAGAATTGTCTAGGGTATATCTGGATATTGTAGAGTTGTCATAGGGGTTACTATATAACTGGTAGATTTATTAAATCTGTTTAAAATCTGTTCAAAATCTGTTTATCCGTTAATCAGCTGTCACCCCCATACGAACGATAACTCTTTTGCCTCTTTTGATTTGCCTCTGACCAATAAGGTTGGTCGGACCGAGGCAGAAGGATTCAGATGGAATATAAGAGAACAGCTGGATCGAGAATCAGTTCCAACATCTAACATCAGCAATGAAGAACGAAGAGCTCTGAATGACCTATGAAGAGATAATACCATCAACATCCTACCTGCAGATAAGTAAAACGCTATTGTTCTGATAAATACGGATCTCTACGAACAGAAGATCAAATATGTTCTTCAGAAAGGGCACTACACGAAGATTATACTGCTGTATCAGTTGAAAGAAAGTTGTATTAGACTATTTTTCGGAAAAGGAGAGATTATCGCTAACACCGTACCACAGTAAGCCCCCTCACCTGTATGGACTACCCAAAATCCACAAGAAAGGTGATCCGCTCAAACTGATCATCAGTTCCAGAGATTCAGCTACTCAAAACTTGTTCAAATTTTTACTTGCAATTATTCAAGAAAAAATTTAATTTTTTGTGAAGAATTCAAGGCATTTGTCGAATTACTAAAGGAAATCGAAGCCACGGAGCAAGATCTAATAATCAGTTTTGACTTGGAGGAGCACTTCGAATCATACAGAAGAAGCTATCGAAAGACGAGGACCTGAAAGATAGAACGATCTTGTCTAAAAAAGTAATCATGGACTCGCTAGCATGCTGTGTATGGAACTGCTATTTACAACTGAAGGATGAATTGTTTACGCAAGATGAGGAACTGCCAATGAGATCGCCACATTAACCAGTTATAGCCAACATATATATGGAGTGATTTGAAACTCTGGCTATTGAAGAAGCCCCGAGTCTTATTGAGATACGTTGACAACACCTCCATAGTATGGAATCATGGAAATGCAGAACTAGACAGCTTTCTGAAGCACATCAACAGCGTAAAACTTTCCATCACCTTCACAAGGGAGAAGGAAGTTCCCAACGATTTGCCATTCTTAGAAGTATTGGTGAAGAGGAGCGACACTGAGTGGAAACCATCTGTATACTGAAAACTCACTAACATGGGACAGTATCTGTCACTAATCTAACCATCATCAATCTACCAAAAGAGGAATCATCAAGGACTCAAGTGGATCGTGCTTTTGGGCTTTGTGATACGAAGGAAAGTCTCGAGAACAAACTAGGCATCCTCAAAAAAATATCTTTAACGGAATATTTGTTTGAAGGTGGTTGACAATGTTTTGTGGTGCATTTCATTAGTTCGGACTTCCATTGTCTGATATGATATAAATTGATTTGAAATCCCTGAAAGAATATATAAAAAATTAAAAAATTAAAATAGATTAGTTGAAAAATTACATTTACATTAGGCAAAAAAACTGAAATTACAATGAGATATAATACAAGCAACAACCAAAAAAAAAAATGAACTATCAACACGAGATGAAAAATGAAAATTATTAACACGAAATGAAAATTGAAAGATTGCAAACCAAGTTACTTCACGACGTTTCGATTGTTAGTATCCACAATCGTCTTTGGGTGATAATTGGACTTATTCCTCCGCGATTTGACTATTTATAGGTCATTCGAATGCTTTCACATATACACATAGAGGGATGAGGGGATATCATATTATATATATGATTTATATCATATTAGACAATGGAAGTCCGAACTAATGAAATATTTAACGGAATGGTTACTCCAAAGTGATGGTGAAATAGATGTTGGCTAGATTATAACCAAACAACGTTTGGTATTGTATCTTGGTCTCATCGGATGTCAATAGATGGTGATGTTAAAGTTAAGATGCGCCGCGCCGTAAAGGTATCAAAAGAACATGTTGGCTTCATATTGCATGATCATTTGACTATGAGCAAGGTTTGTTCAAAGTGGGTGCCGAGCTTACTGTTGACCAAAAAACAAGAACGTCTTGATGAATCTGAGCAGTGTTTGGCCATGTTTAAACATATCAAACCGGAATTTTTGCATCGTTATGTGACAATGATGGATGAAACATGGATCCATCACTTCACTCCATTATTAAAAAGATCGTCATCTGAGTGGAGAGCAACTGGTGAACCTCATCCAAAGTACCTGAAAGCACATCAATTTGCTAGAAAGGTTATGGCCTTGGGCCAAGAGTTCCCTCGGTGGAGAACTCTTGGCCCGCAGTTATCAACCGAACAAACCAAAATCTCTTGTCTCTCAGCAAATGGCTGAATAATAATTTACTTACTTTGAATATTGATAAAACAGTGGCAATTCCTTTTAAAAACAATAGTAATAATAACCTACAAAACATTAATATCAACAAACAAAATGTCAGATATGTCGAGAACTCCAAGTATCTGGGAATTATGATTGACCATAAACTAACCTGGAAAGTGCATATATCCAATCTGGTCTCAGAAATAAAAAAACATCTATGAATTTCACTCACTAAGAAATATACTGAATACTGTAACTCCTAAAACAGTGTAACTATGCTATCACACAGAGCTTACTGCAGTACTGCATAATACCAAGGGGATCGGCATATAAAACAATTATGGAATCATTGGTTTACAGCACAGAAATACATTATCAAGATCTGCCTTCGGAAACCTATAGAAGATATTCGTAATAATCTTCTCTTCAAAGAATTCAGAGTCCTAGCAGTCACAGAACTGTACCTCAAAAACTTACTGACGAGATACAGTTTTTAAATATCTCGGTAAAAAATTGTACAATATTGTGGATGAATCATTCAGGGATATCAAGTTTCTCAACTCCTTCAGATCAAAAATAACTCCGTGGATCGTTGAGAATTCCAACCAGTTGTTGCAATTGTTATATTATCCAAAACAATAAAACGTTGTATTCACATTTTCAAACTCACACACTTCATATTCAACTACTATTTACAGACACATCTCTACTCCTCATCTTTTTTTAGCCTTATTTTCCTCTTTTTTCTTAAATTATGTCGCAAATAATTATGTCTGAGTTCATAGTCCAGTATTGCGCGACACATAACACTCATAAACGTTGCACTAGAGACATATTTAAAACTAAGGTATTACTGTTTGCTACACACGAGCTTGCTATGTAATAATTTGTACTATTGTTTTGTTATATTTGTGTGTTCAGATTGTTTTATTACACACATCGTGGTGCGTTGTATTTACTGTACACAGAAATTATATCTATATATGTAAATTAAACTATATTACATATTTCATTATTTCAAAATATCATAACGTACTATAATTTGATGCGCTATACTCTCTGTACTCATTTATTATATCTATGTATTTTAATGAAACAATAAATTCTATTCTATTCAACCTACTGTGTAGGTATATTCGAGACTGGCTTGAANGTTGATTATTCCTGAACAGTCATGTCGTCACTATTTCAATTCGCTCTTGAAGAGTATGAACCATTTTTTATGAAAGAAAGGATAATGAAAGAAGCAATAACCCGAGTTCAAATATGACAGAAAAACAACTTCAGTACTAAAACTAAGCCGATAGTCACCAAGAATAATTGTAATACAAAAATAACCATATTGTGTACTTTAACAAGGAATTTTCCAACGCGAAATCTTATTTTTCTTATTTTTATGAGAATCACTCAACATTGCTCAGTTTTTTAAATAATGAAATTGGGTTTGCAAGTTGACCTAGTTTGAAATTTAATGAAAATTTGACAAAATATTTTTATTTTTTCTGGTATTGCTTACCGTTGTAACGCCAAATATGTTATAGAGTTGGATGCATTATTTGCAAGACCTTTCAAATAAGGAAGCAAGAAACTCTTTCGAAAGTTCGAAATAGAAGAACACTTCAATCTAGCAGACCACTGTTATAATCTTCATGCAGTCATTGTTCACTGTGGTTCTGGCGTTGAATCCGGCCGTTATTACGCATTGGTCAAAGACGAAATGGACTGGTTTAAGTTTGACGATAGTCGTGTCGTGAAGTGTTGTGGCGATGTATTGAATCTATCGGAGCCTCTGGCGACACCCTACATTTTATTTTATGAGAGAGAGGACATTGTTAGATCAAGATCTTCAGATGATGTGGTGCTGCAGGTTTTTCCGGGTTTTCCTGCAGCTGAAAAAGCAAATTCGCCACTGGAGTCAATTAAGTCGCCCCGGAGCGCCAATTAATTTTTATTGTTGTTTTTATTTTTATCGTTGTTTTATCAGTTTTTTTAGTTTATTCAAATACAGGTGTTACTCGACTATCATTTTCATTTGAAAATGTTCACATGAGAATTGTTGTGAGGAGAATGTTGCTGACCTTGCTTTTCACGTAATAATGTGTCCCTCTCAAAACTCAAGTTAACGAGTTTAACGATTTTTTCACAGTTCTAATATCAAATGAAATCGTCATATTAAAAAATATCTTGCAAACGCGATAATCAAGTGTGAAGGGTTACTTTTAGATAATTCAAAATACCGATAAATCCCAAATCCAAACTTCTTTGTGAAAGACATTCTCTTAAAATCATTGCAAAACTTTTCAATCCTTTAATTGCTGGAAATGTTTGCCATCCTACAAACAAATTATTTTCGAACTGTTGTCTCATACTTTGGAGTGCTTGCGATATCACTTCGTGACATCGCAAGTCTTCAATGAGTCATTTGGATTGCGATTCACTTTTTTTTATGTGTTACCACAAAAAAGAACTCAAGTCGTGTGACCGGGGGGGTCATTGAACTCCACTCCTTTATTATACGCACATTTTGTGAGTAGTGAGGAGGAGAACTATATTGTTGCATGGTAAGTCATCATTGATGCAGGATCATTCTCTATTATATATGCGTGAGTTACCTCACATTGTAAAGGTATCAACATGTTGGCTTCATATTGCATGAGTATTTGACTATGAGGCTCTGTTCAAAGTGGGTGCCGAGCTTACTGTTGACCAAAAAACAAGAACATCTTGATGATTCTGAGCAGTGTTTGGCCATGTTTAAACATAACAAACCAGAATTTTTGCATCGATATGTGACAATGATGTATGAAACATGGATCCATCACTTCACTCCATTATTAAAAAGATCGTCATCTGAGTGGAGAGCAACTGGTGAACCTTATCCAAAGTACCGGAAAGCACATCAATTGGCTAGAAAGGTTATGGCCTCCCAGGGAACTCTTGGCCCGAAGTTATCAACTAATTTCTACTAAGATTTTAATTCGTTACGACAGTACACTGTATTTTTGGATCAATAGTTGATTCATATGTTATAGAAGTTAAATAACTATTGTTTTGGAATCTCAGATAAGGTATTGATAGATAATTCTTATTATTTCAGGTACCAAAAGGACATTGACTGTATCATTGTATATTTGAGGATTTGTTTGTCACAATACGTCAGTTTACTTGAAAATGGTTAAAAAAATCAAAACCGGTTGTAACAAATAAAAATCTCAGTAGAAGTTAGACAACAGTTATTTTCTTTATCCTAGGTATATTTAGATAAATATTTAATTCAATACAATTTTCAACTTCACATGAATGACGAATCTCCTAGTTTCCTACCTTTCCTGAATCCTGGAACTATGAATGGTTGTTGCAAAACGTAGGTGAAGAAATAATAATAAACCGAAGAGTTGGACACGTTTGCGTGAAGTCTGGCCGCTTTCTCTCCATCTATGAAGAAATGCCGGTCACTGAACATCTAAAAATATCAATTGAATCAATTCAATTTCTCATTTCATTCAGTTTCAACCTTATATTAGATTGTTTCAAAAGTTGTGTCCGTTTTAATGTCATGTGTTTTGAAGCTCCGTATCTCAATGAATATGTATTCTAGTATGTCATGTAGTATACTGATCGATAGATCATTTTGTACTCTATATATATACATTGATGCTGTTCACTTTTTTCCAAATTTTAATATTTTGTTTCTTTCAGCTTATTACTATATGATGTTGTTAAGTGATTTATAGTTAATTTTTCTCTACAAATTCAAATTTAACCAAAGCGCTGCCGAAACAGATCGAAAAATTAACTAGGCATTTGGCAATGATAGTGTAAATGAAAGAAATGTTCGACGTTGGCTTGCGAAATTTTGTTCCGGAGATTTTGTCCTTAAAGATGAGCCCCGAATGTTGAAAAACCACCATTTTCATAATTTGTTAACTTGTTTTCGTTCATATTGTATATGTTTAAAGGTAGTTAAGAGATTATTTTTGACATAATAAAAGTGTGAGTTGAGTAGTCTAAAATTAATACATTTATTCAAGAGTTTATTTGAGTTATTTCCTCTACTTCAACATGGTAGCAAAAGGTAGTACGATAAGAGCTGTTCTGAGTATTGCTGCTAGTAGAAAAATGACTCTCACCCAGTTTGATATTAGTTCTGCATTTCTCTATGGCGAACTTGACGAAGAAGTTTACATGAAGCAACTTGAGGATGGTACTAATCGAGTATGTAGACTTCAGAAAAGTCTACATGGACTCAAGTAAGCACCAAATGTTGGTATAAGCGATTCCATGATGTTGTGAAGAAACTCGATTTCCAGCAAAGTAATGCAGATCCATGTTTATACATAAAGAAACATGGAAATGATATGATAATCTTGGTCATATACGTTGATGATGGGTTGCTTGCAACAACGAATGATACATTGAAGAATAATTTCTTGCAAAGCTTGCAGAATGATTTCAAAATGACAGTGAAACCTGCTTCCTATTTCCTAGGATTAGAAATCAAAACTAGAAACGATGGTTTCATTCAACTAAATCAAGCAGCCTATATACAAGAAAAGTATTAGAACGCTTTGGCATGCAAGATTGTAAACCCGTTTCAACACCGATTGTAAAAGATTGTATTCAATCAGAGAACGAATCCGAAATGGATTTGAATACAACTTTTCCATACAGAGAGGCGATTGGGGCTCTTATGTATCTAATGACAGATACAAGACCATTGCTTATGCAATTAGTGTTGTTTCCAGGTCGTTAAAAGATCCCAGCAGTCATAATTGTATCCAAGTAAAACGAATACTTTGATACCTCAAAGGAACAACAGATTACGGTATAACGTACAAAAAAAACCAGTATGGATGGCCTGAGAAGTTTTAGTGATGCTGACCATGGCGGAGATGAAACAACAGGACGTTCAACAACAGGTGTTATTTGTATGTATGCTGGCGGTGCGATATCTTGGCTCAGTCAACGACAAACTTCAGTAGCTATTTCCTCAACGGAAGCTGAGATAGTAGCTGCAAGTGAAGATTCCCGTGAACTGGTTTGGTTGAAAGAGTTATATGAAGAATTTTTGGATATGGAATGTTATCCAGTATTGATGGTTGATAACGAAGCTGCAATACGCTTGGCTCAAAATCTGAAATATCACAGACGTACCAAACATATTCATATAAGACATTTCTTCCTAAGGGAACTGGTCTTAAATGGTCCCAAACCGCCCTGTTGTGAGGAAATCGACGAAATGTACCGAAGATTTCGTCAGCCGCAGCCGGTACGTCCGCACAAATCACCGTCCAAGAATTTATCGAATTGAACGTCAAAGTTGTGCCTCACCCACCATACTCCCCAGACCTCTCGCCAAGCGACTACCATATTTTCAAGCACTTCGAAAAGTTTCTCACCGGTAGAACCTTCGCCAATCAGGACCAGGCAATCGAATCACGAGTAGGTACTCGATTTTTATGATGACGAAGTTGATCGACATGTGTTATGTTGGCAATGCACTGATTCAAATGAATTATTTCGATTAAACGGAATAAGTAGTCACCGAGATATTATAGTTTAGAACTTTCGAAACAACTTTACAACCTAGTCACATAAACTATAAAATACACTGCTTAATTTTCACTGCTTGACTAACGCAAGAAGTCATAGTCTATATCAAGGGTCGGCAAGTAGTTTCAGGTGGGGTCTCGATACCGTGGGAAAATTTTAACGGGGTCCAGAAAAAAAAAACAAATATTTTTTTTAAAAAAATTCATCTTTGAGAAAGATGTTTCACATATGTATGTCGAGCCAAACATAGTGGCCAAATTGATAGCTAGTTTTTACAATTTTCATATTTTTCAGGGACATGTTTGGCCCAAAAATTTTCAGTGGATACCGTTCTATACATTTGCAAGGACACGTCTTCTTGGAAATCAATTATTTCCAATTGAACAACTTGGCAGCCACATCTGTCAATTTTGCTGCTGCATCAATTTTAAACGGAGATTTATTAAGAAACGGGATAGCTTGCCTATCTTTGAAAAGTCTTGGAATCTTGTACCAAATTCGTTCTTAAGATCGGCCAGAAATTTTACAAACTCTGCAATGTCTTCTTCAGAGGTCGTCTTTTTCAAAGATATCCAGCTTATGACGATAAAATCATCAAAGGCCTTGAATAAATCTTCTCCTCGAGTGTTACCTTTCAACGGCAATATTGCTAGTAACTCTTCCCTAAAAATCTGACACTCAATGTCAAAATATCTTACAAAAATTGACATTTGTTCATCATCAACAATGTCACATGATTCATCAAGTGCTATGGCGTAGCAAGGTACCTTTTGCAGAAGTTCAAGAAGAGTGTTTTTAATGTCCGCAGCTACAATTTCAGTTCTTCGTGTATACTTCTCGCTGACAATGAAATACTTTGAATTGTAGAGACATCTTTTTTCTTCAAAAAGTGAAATAACTATTGCCAACATACATTCCTTCACTATGTCAGAATCTGAAAATGGTTTCTGGTGTTTATTAAGTGTACAGCATACACGTAACGATGCTTCTGTGGATTTTTCTTGGTCGCTCATGCAACGAACTAGTAATTTTGTACTCTTTTCGTAAGAACTGAGATATGTCTGATTTTTTTCTTCACGAGCCTGACTGCCAAGAGAAAAGTTTTTATGGAATTGCTGATGAGTTGTTTCGTAGTGTCGCTTCAAATTTCCACTTTTAACAATAGCGACAGTTTTATTGCTTATAAGGTACACTGGAACCGCTTGAGGCCTAGTGGCAGTGTAAAACAATATTGTTCAATCCATTCTGCTAAAAACCTTCTATTTTCACTGTCGACTTTTCGTTTTTTAGGATCCAAATCAACGTAGGTACAGGAGGATTTTGTATAAAACGAACGAAAACGACAGAAATAAAATAAATGTCCGGTTACTCCGTTGTTTGTGCTGCGACTGCAGCACAAACAACACTGCTTTCAGTGCTTTCCCACTCCCCCACTATCGATTTCGATACGCGCTCATGCTTTTTTCAACAAAACAAAACAGGAGCAAGCACCCTGAAGTAAGGTAAGTACGCGGTGCGCTGTGGAAAGCTCCGGCACATATTTCCGAAAAAATGGTATGAGGTTCAATCTATGGATGTTTCTTGTGCATAACAGAGATTTGAAAATATTTAAATGGCATCAGTTTGATTCGCACACACACAGGCTAGATAAGAAACTTATCAGTAGTAGGTAAAACAGGTTAACTAGGCAACTTGAATTAGAATACGTACTAAGTTAGATTTTATTTGTGTTAAATTAATTGATAAATGTATGGTATACCTCATCTACGAATTTTTATATGTACTTGGCATATAGTACAATATTTGGGGCGGTCCGCGGGTCAATCTTTCGCGGTCTGTAAACGGACCGTGGGTCTATATACACAGTATTCCAAGAAAACAACTTTCTCTGTAACTGCAATGGACGTGATATCAAAAATTCAATTATTTCGATAGGACCTTTTCCTTTCGTGGAACTCCATTTCTATGTGAAAGTAGTTGTTGAAATGGTTTTTTCTTCCAGTTTCCATCTGAAAGAAACTTCTGTTCATGCTCTATATATTCTTATGAAGAGTTTTCAATGTATTCATTTTCTTCATTCCTTCCTTTGGGAGTTTATCATACTTTTTGATTAATACTGATGAAGTGGAAAGTCAAATAGCTTATTTTCCCAAAATAATCATATTCCCCAGTTCACACCCGGAGAAAAGTTATTGTACACATAAAAATATGTGATGACAGCCGTAATGAATAACAGTGACAATTAGAAATACTTAAATTTTCTGGAAATATGAGACGTAGACTTGAACTATGAATAGCACCAGTGCGAGGCAGGTCATCAGTTAACTATGTAAATCCGAAAAAAACTTTTCTGTTCTACTGGGTGTATGGTTTCGAAAAAATTAATCAAGGAATCTAAATATACAGTGTGTCAATTTGAAAACTTCCCACCCTCAATATCTCCCTTACAGTAAATAATATGAAAAAATGGTCAGACAAGTCAACTTTATTTGCAAGGGGGACACTCTGAATGAATATTTTCAACCCTCGGGGTTCAACCCCCTAGGAGGGGTGGATGTTACCCTCAGAATTTCAAATGGAAAGGGGTCTTTCGTGGAACTCCATTTCTATGTGAAAGTAGTTGTTGGAAGGGTTTTTTCTTTCAGTTTCCATCTGAAAGAAACTTTAGTTCATGTTCTATATATTCTTATGAAGAGTTTTCAATGTATTCATTTCTTCATTCCTTTCTTTGGGAGTTTTTCATACTTTTTGTTTAATACTGATGAAGTGGAAAGTCAAATAGCTTTTTTCCCCAAAATAATCATATTCCGCAGTTCACACCCGGGGTACACATAAAAATATTTGATGACAGCCGTAATGAATAACAGTGACAATTAGAAATACTTAAATTTTCTGAAAATATGAGACGTAAACTTGAACTATGTTTCACGATAAAATCACAACTCTGAATTGCACCAGTGCGAGGCAGGTCATTAGTTAACTATGTAAATCCGAGAAAAACTTTTCTGTTCTACTGGGTGTATGGTTTCGAAAAAATTAATCAAGGAATCTAAATATATATGAATGAAAGTTTCTCGATATCACTCGCAACTGTTGCATAGGAAATTGACTACGCCACTGAGCCACGCATGATGCTCACTTTACATGGATCCGGGCGATGCGGCAGTGCAACGTTGGAAACTCACTTGGGTACATTTTTCCGTATGGATTTTTAACTTTTGAAAAAATGAAATGAAGCCTATCTTACCCGTTGATAATGTAGCTATGTGTAGGTGAAATAATTATTAAAATTAGTCGAGTGGTTTTTGGGATTATCCATTACAAACAAAACTCTTTATATTATCAGTTCAGATTAATAATTTAAATTACATGAATTACATTTCGAAAGAACTCACCCGGACTAAAGCGTACTCGTTATCTTCTGAAACTGGTTCATCGTCCAAGTAATGTTTTCGTACTTTCGTGACTACGTCTTTTTTGAGTTCCTCATCAACTGTGTCTTGGATATCCAACATGAAAGGCATTAATTCGTTCCATCTTGAATCCATCTCGGCTAACTTGTCCGTCGCCACGAAAACTACAAAAATATGAGAAAAGTTGTGAATAATGTAACACGTAAATATATTTTCAATCAACGAATTTCACTGTGACAACGAAATCATTGTACATGGAGCCATTGAGTTGTTTTTAGGTTAAAAAGTTTTGTAATTCGGAACGAACGTATACTTCCTTGGAGATGATATTTCTCATGGAAACCGAATTGAAACACATTTTTATTTGAACTGAAAATGAATACAACTTAAGAGTGTTATGGAACTCTGTATAATTTTGACATTTCGATAAACTGTAAAATTACGTGTTCAACGTTATAATACAAGTGGCCGTTTAATTTCAAAATGGTAGGTACATACAGTAGGAGTCATTTTCTCTAAATTCAATATGGTGGCACTATGGCGTCATCTGTGGAAATATTGCTATGTTATGAGAAACAAATGACGATGTTTGCTCTGGCACAGAAAAATGAAGAATGTATCTTGGAATTTTTTTGTAGTATATAAGGTACACTGCTTCAATGTTGAAGTTCAGAAAAATACAATTTCCTATCATGCTTTTCGAACAAATTGATGGAAAGTACGTTAAGGTAAAAGTTACAGTTCGTGTTTTTTTATTCAAATTCAGTGAACTTTGTCTTTCATCTGTCACTACATCAAGTTGTTTGTCAATATACCTGATAGTGCCGACGTATTTTCCGTGCCAATGTTACGGAAAGAACAGAAAAATCATTTAGGTGATTGCTACTTTGGCTCGACGAATTTCGCCGGTATAAATGCAAAAAACTAGCACAGAATAAATATTTTGATGTATCATCTGTATCGAAGCCAGTTCCACGTACAGACAGTGATCCATTGCCGCTTTCCGCTCTTTTTGTGTCTATGAGACACCCGCGCCATTGATCATCATAATGTTTGGAAGGTGTGGCCGAGTCGTATCCATTATGAGTCAGGACAACAAAAGGTGTCCCCTGTACCCCTTGTGAACCCATACGACGTTTTATTGCCAACTTCTCACAATGAACTTGGCCTCAATAAGAACTTTGTTGAAGCGCTTTCTCGTGAAGGACCGGCTTTCCAGTACCCAAGTTATTTCCAAAACAGTCCAACGCAAAAATCGGACTAATATTCGAAAATTAATGGCTGATACAAAGTTTACAGATTATTTAACGCCTAATGGAGCAGCAGCATGGGCATCGTTCCAAACTTTTGTTTTTATTTTCTCGGTAATCACAAATCACCAAGTATATCTAATCGATATTTTTTTTCAAAATTACTACCAAATTGGAACTGCAATGTCTCTCAAGATACATTTTCTGCATTCAAATCTTGATTTCATTCCAAAAAACTTGGGCAACACGAGCGATAAGCAAGGAGAGCGGCTACACCAAAATATAGCGAAACTGGAAAGGCGATACCAAGGATTATGGGACTATTGGACGCTATTTTGTGAAATAGATCTTATGCAGTATAGAAGACTCAGTTCAACTTCTGTTCATTTCTGATTTATACTTTCCAAGTCAATAAATGGCATAATGGTCAAAAATAGAACAATAATGAATGTATTCAATATTTCGAGAACTAGAACCAATCGCCAATGGAACATTCGGTATAGCTTTGGTTACTTTGCTTCCAATTTCTTCAGCGATATTGGTTGAAAACCAATTACAGTAACAGGCGACTCTAAAGCAAAATCATTTTTAATACAACAATCCAGAAAGGAAATGCTACATCAATTCTTGACACTATTTCTTCTTGTGGAAGTTTTGATAGAATTTTCTGCTAAAACAATTTTCTCCTCAGCTTCTTCTATTGAAAATAATCCAAATGGAAATAAATCAGACCTAATTTCTGAAAATTCGTGGTAGAAGATTCAAGAGGCAAACTGAGCACCAACAGTTTCAACATCTAAAAAGGACAAATGGAGAAGAGAAAAAATTTCTAAACCGGAAAAACTTTGCGGTGATTCAACCTATAACCGTATCTCCAGCTTTTTACTACTACTCGCACACTATGATCTCCCCTGACTAATAAGAAAGTCGCTCTTGACGAGGATTCCAAAAACAAGTTCAATCTACTCATATGCCCCTTCAAGCAAGTTCCGATCAGTTTGTAGATCCACACTGTTTCTATCTAGATACACGATCGACGGTAGTGCAGTGAGCTTTCAGCCAAGTGTCTGCTTAATCAAAGCAATTACTGCTTCAACAACTCGATTTTACAAGCCCTGATCGCATGTCCACCACTCTACAACTTACTGAACAGCCTGAGCAAAAATATCTCGTCGGACGAGATAATGAAATCTACTCCGCTTATAGATGGAATATGTCATTTTGTGGAGCAGTTTGATTACTTACCTTCCTACAGTAGGAAGAAATACAAAAGCGTGGATAAAAATGCCAAGAATGACCAAGCAGTTATAGTTAAAACTGTCATCCCTTTCGGTCAGACGGGGATTTATAAACAAGATGCGGAATAGCTTCTATGTTTTTTTTAATGGACTTAACGATGAAATGTTTGAACTAAAGGAGTTGGTTAAATATTCTCTAGCTTTTGACTACTACTCGCACACTATGATCTCCCCGACGATGAATCACCAACATCCGCCTATGATGGTACAGCCAATCCTGTACTATCGACTCTTTCAGTTATATTGCCAATTGCATATGCAAGTCATTTTTTGTGAAGATTCCTGCACTGACGCTTGTCGGATATAATCCAACGCCGTTGAATGGTATTAGCCAGTGGAGTAGTTGTTTTCTGATAGGCGTCAGTCCATTCAACCTACTGTGTAGGTATATCCAAGACTGGCTTGAAACTTTAAAGTTCATTTTTTTAGATTTGTTCACTGCCAGTCTTCAAGCATAGCCCACTGACTAATAAGAAAGTCGCTCTTGACGAGGATTCCAAAAACAAGTTCAATCTACTCATATGCCCCTTCAGCACTCCGCAAGTTCCGATCAGTTTGTAGATCCACACTGTTTCTATCTACATACACGATCGACGGTAGTGCAGTGAGCTTGCAGCCAAGGTGTTTGCTTAATCAAAGCAATTACTGCTTCAACAACTCGATTTTACAAGCCCTGATCGCATGTCCACCACTCTACAACTTACTCAACAGCCTGAGCAAAAATATCTCGTCGAATGAGATAATGAAATCTACTCCGCTTATAGTTGGAATATGTCATTTTGTGGAGCAGTTTGATTACTTACCTTCCTACAGTAGGAAGAATTACAAAAGCGTAGATAAATATGCCAAGAATGACCAAGCAGTTATAGTTAAAACTGGCATCCCTTTCGGTCCGACGGGGATTTATAAACAAGATGCGGAATAGTTTCTATGTTTTCTTTTGAATGGACTTAATGATGAAATGTTTGAACTAAAGGAGTTGGTTAAATACTACACTGAAAATAAAAAAACTCCCATTCACTCTGCTTTCAGCAGTGATTCAAGTAATGAATGGAACGTAATGGAATTGAAAAATAACGGAAATCCAACCAGAAGGATCGACTTCACCAGTACACCGATAATCAACATCTTTGGGGGGAGACTATAGTGGAGCATTCATCTTCCGGAAGACCACATTACTGAGCCTTTTGTCACCCTGCCACTCAATATTGAAAAAGTAGAGACTGCCAGGGAAGCACCTTGCGTCGTTTACTATGACGGCAAAGATGCCAACATTGGACACTATGTGACCGATGCCTTCCCAACCGTCTACAACTGGCTAAGGTACGACGATTCTTCTGTCAAGACCGTGCAGTTAACAAGAAATGAAAATTCTAAAATAAAATATTTCAAACCAAGTAACTTCACGACGTTTCGATTGTTAGTATCCATAATCGTCTTCGGGTAATAATTGCACTTATTCCCCTCTTTCCTTTCTCCGTTTCATCGGTTTTAACGGAAACTGACCGTTTGGCAGGAGTTGTCGTGTTCCGCTTGGTTAGAGGTTTCCATATGTTGCGTATCTCTATGCTAGCTTCGCCAAATGCGTTGTTGGACAACGTATATGCGGCTTCTTTGAATTTTCTCCTAAACCAGTGTTCCTTCTTGTGGATGATTTCAGCTTGAGCCCACTTGATGTTATGTTGATGAGTCCAAACATGCTCTGCTATTTCTGATTTGCTGGTTTCTCCTCGCTGTGTTTTTTTGTGCTCGGCAATGCGAACTTTCATTGGCCTCTTAGTTTCACCGATGTGCACTCGCAGGGTATCCGGTAAATGCAATTCTTGGAATCGCATTTGGTGGCCTGGTTTTCGTGAGGCTGCTACGGATAGTGTTCCCTGATCTAAAATAGGTTCTGATGTTATACTTGGACCCAATCCTTCTTATCCTTTCCGACAATCCTCTGATGTAGGGAAGTACAAGTACTGGTTGTGGCGGCTTCTCTTCCTTATGAAGCTCTTGCTGTCTTCTAGCTAAAACCTGTTCCACCATCACTTTGGAGTAACCATTCCGTTGAAGGTCATTTTTGATGATGTCTAGTTCCTTTCCGAAACCTTACAGAGCCCGAAAGCACGGTCTAGTAGAGTCCTGATGATTCCTCTCTTTGTCGATTGATGGTGGTTAGATTTTTGGTTCAAATATTGTCCTGTTTGAGTGATTTTTCGATATACAGATGTTTCCCATTTAGTGTCGGTCCTCCACAACGAATTGCCATTCTTAGACGTTTTGGTGAAGAGGACCGACACTAAATGGGAAAAATCTGTATATCGAAAACCCACTTCACACAGGACAGTATTTGAACCAGAAATCTAACCACCATCAATTGACTAAGACAGAAATCATCAAGACTCTACTAGACCGTGATTTCGTGCTCTGTAATACAAAGGAAGGTCTCGAAAAGGAACTAGGCATCATCAAAAATGACCTTCAACGGAATGGTTACTCCAAAGTGATGGTGAAACAGAATTTAGCTAGAAGACAGCAAGAGCTCCACAAGGAAGAGAAGCCGACACAACCAGTACTTGTACTTCCCTACATCAGATGGTTGTCGAAAAGGATAAGAAAGATTGGGTCCAAGTATAACATCAGAACCTGTTTCATTGCATTTACCGGATATCCTGCGAGTGCGGAGAATCATACATCGGTGAAACTAAGAGGCCATTGAAAGTTCGCATTGCCAAGCACAGCGAGGAAAAACCAGCAAATCAGGAATAGCAGAGCATGTTTGGGCTCATCAACATAACATCAAGTGGGCTCAAGTTGAAATCGTCCACAAGGAGGAACACTGATTTAGGAGAAAATTCAAAGAAGCCGCATATATGTTGTCCAACAAAACATGTAGCCAAGCTAGCGTAGAGATACGCAACATATGGAAACCTCTAATAAAATCGAGCGGAACACGACCAACTCCCGCCAAACGATCAGTTTCCGTTAAAACCGATGAAGCGGAGAGAGGGAAGAGGGTATAGGTGAAAGCACTCGAATGAACTATAAATAGTCAGATATCTGAGGAATAAGTCCAGTTATCACCCGGAGACGATTGTGGATACTAACAGTCGAAACGTCGTGAAGTAACTTGGTTTGGAATGTTTTAATTTTTGATTTGCATTTCTTGTTAGTTATTTTTTAATTTTTATCTCGTGTTAATAATGCANAGACAATGGAAATGGACAAGTGAAATTCATCATGAAACATTGTCAATCACCTTCAAGTATCCAAAGATATTTAGACCATGCAAAGAAGTAACTTTCAGACACAAACTGGAAGAATGAGCCCTCTCTAAACAGCTACTTTCATATTAACATTGAATTACACGAAAGGAAAATACTTTCGAAACAAATACTGAATTATATGAAAAACACTTTTCTCTATTATGTTTGTATTCCAAACATCCGTAATGGAATCGACTCAGATATCATTCACAGAATTCCTACACAATATAATAAATGAAAAAAGTAAAATTTCATTTACATGGAACACTGTCATCCTAACTGGTAGACAATCGATGTTTCGCCGTAAGACACTTGCCTTATCAGCTCTTCTGTACCAAATCTGGATCACATAATAAGGAAAAACGCTCAATTCATTAATGAAATTACGACTCCATGTCACGAATGCGTTCAATATACTCATTTCACCGATGACGTAATGACATTCATTTGCTTATTTGATCAAATCCCAGCCATTGGAATCTTGATTGCTTCCTTCCTTTTTTCCATTTTTTGGATGGAGATGGTGAAGTAGAAAGCCAACAACTTCCTTTCCCAAGAAAGTTGTTATTTTTACATGACACACAATATATAATGAGTTTTTTATCAAAAAAATGCATGTCAATATATGCCAATTGTTTTGTCCGAACGTTTTTTTAACAGGCCTCCATTTATTCTTCAATCCAATTCACACCATACATTCACACCATACATACATTTAGTCAAACATTTTATCCAGAATCTCATTTACTCATTCATCATCAAATGAACATTTGAAACAATAGTTTTTGTTAAACTACTATACGAAGAATTTAGACAATTCGGATATGCGGTTGGTTACCTCGTCCACGAGCAGATGGGGCGATGACAAATATGTGTTTTGTCGTTCGCTTTAGCCTAGTTCGAGGAATGATACTCTGAAAAAAAATCGATTTTCAATTATGGAAAATCATTGACTTCATGTTGGTTATGAACTCTACGTTGCACTGACGCAGTTCAGTTTACTAAAAATATAAGTTGAATCTTGATGATTGAATGGATGGAAGAGCAATATCTGCCTTGATTTATCATATGCAGATGTTGAATTCTGCGATTTGTTAGTTTGGGTTAGTATCTCTTGTACTGAGTAACCTTTCAATGAAAGCATTTATTATTATTATTTTCATTATTACATATTAGGAAACTTACACGCTGTTGGGTAAATCCCTTCATCCCTGACGTTCGACGTCACCCAAATTGTAATTATTATTTGTAATATTATTTGTAATCTGTATACGTTGTGAATATCATTAGTTGTAATTTTTATTTTATCTGGGCCCATATATACTGACACAGTTTAGGCACTGTTAACTGTAAAATACATTTTTCATCTTTTTTATATATTTTGCTCAAATAGAATTAGTGATTTTTATTTCATTGAACTTTTATATTTATTGGTACCTATATCATTTGTATTAAGTTTTACAATGAGTAAATTGATAGATGTAGCCGTTAGTACGTGGTAGGAAATCATAATGAAGAAAAAAGAAATGAACCTTTCTATGTTTTTTACCACTTTTATGTAAAATTGGAAAAAAACAAAGAAAGATTCATTTCTCTTTTCTTCATATTACAGTGAGCTTTGAACAATTTCAATAAACAAAAATTCCGGATCAAAATATCTCATTAGTGCATTTATATGTATATTAATGTGTATGATAAAATTTCAAATTTCAGTTCTGATTTATCTATTTTTTTGGTGCTCTGTTCGTAATCAGTCATATTATAGTTGTTTTTAGATTATTGTTTTTTTCCCACTATGAACATTGTATGTTTCTTGGAAAATCAAATCGTTATTATTATTAGTATTTTTTACCGTAGTATGCGCTGGTCAGACCCTATCCCCCGAAGCCCCGATACATTCGGGAGGGCGCGCGAGCATTATCAACCAATGACCACTCCACACACCGTGGGGTAAGTGATCATTGGGTCCGAGAATCATGTGCCCTGAGTAAGGGCAGTGAGCCAAGAATGACAGCCTTCTGCATCTGCCCGGCTAAGATTTCTACCTTAATGCGGCAAGCCGGTATGACTTTGAAATTCGAGAGTGGAGAGGGCATCATTCCACCAAGGACTCCAATAATCAGAACAACCATCTTGACAGAGTTTTCTGGCTAGTCTGCGGAGTTTGAAGAGAAAATCTTGAAATTTTATTCGTTTTTCTTCTTCTTTTCGGACGATATTCGTCTCGCCAGGAGCTGAAAACACGACAAATATTGTCTTGCTCTGGTGGTCGACAAAGACTACATCAGGCTCATTGACTTATATGAGTCTGAGGGTGGGAAATAGTTCCAATAAATGCGGCATCTCTCGTTATTATTATTATTATTTTTTTACCGAAGTATGCGCTGGTCAGGTCCTATTCCCCGAAGCCCCGATACATTCGGGAGGACGCGCCAGCAAAATCAATCAACTACCACTCCTCACACCGTGGGGTAAATGCTCATTGGATCCGAGAATCATGTGCCCTGAGCAAGTACAGTGAGCCAAGAATGACAGCCTTCTGCACATGTCCGGCTAAGATTTCTGCCTTAGTGCGACAAGCCGGTATGATTTTAAAATTCGCGAGTAGAGAGGGCATCATTTCACCAAGGACTCCAATAATCTGAACAACCATCATGACCGAGCGATCTGGACAGAGTCTGCGGAGTTTGAAGAGAAAATCTCCATATTTTATCCGTTTTTCCTCCTCTTATCGGACGATATTCGTTTCGCCAGGAGCTAAAAACTGTACGACAAATATCTTCTTGCTCTGGTGGTCGAGAAGGACTACATCAGGCTCATTAGCTTGTATGAGCCTGAGGGTGGGAAACGAATAGTTCCAATGAATTCGGTACTTCTCGTTCCCCACAACGGATTCAATATCCCCCGTGATGGTAATATAGCACTCTTAGAGCCGCGTTATGTCGATGGATATAGACCGAGACCGCATATGCTAGACATGCTGATAGCAAGTGCATTAGGGTCTCGGGCGTTTCGCGGCATGCCCTGCACCTTGTGTCAGGAACCTCTATACACGACTGCGGTAGGCTAAGGTGTTGAAGACATCATCCTGGCAAGACATGATGAATCCCTCAGTTTTCGACTTCAGCCCACTCGACCTGAGGAAAGCGAAAGTCAGGCGCTTTGATAAGCCAATTTCTCCAATGTTATTGTAGAACATCTCATGCATTGGTTTATCCTTTTTATCCTTGTGTTTCCGCAGAAGTGAGGTGATTAATGTATGTTTCTTCAAACTTTGGTGAATTAAAAATATTCAAAAACTATAGGAAAAACTCCTAGTTATGATTTTTTTCTATATTTTTCGTTTATAACTAAAATTAGGTCTAGTATTTCAAAGTGCCAAATGAAATTCGTAATTTAATTCATTCATGAAATAAGGATTATCACTGACTGAAGAGACGATTTGAATTCGAAACAAGCCACACCGAAAACGTACTTGACTGGTTTTCTAGTCTTGAACACGTTTTCTTTTGATCTTTTGCATTTCACTGTCTTTTGTTTTTGACTTTTATCTTGGTTGATCTTTGCAACTCGACAAATGGGTATTCCAACTAAGGTTTCACCATAACCTAACATCAAGTGTTGATCCCATCACGTTCTTGGCATAATTTTTCGACATTTCTTATCGATTTAGCGAGAAAGCCAAAGCGCTTTGAAATTTGATTTAAATAGCATAAAGACAAAATAGCATGAAATATCATACGAAACACATCCGATAGGTTATTATAATAGTCGTGAAACAACTCCTTCTGCAATAAGTAACCTACCGGACTCATAACGTAAAATACCGTTACGGTTTTTACTTTGTATGTTTTAAAATACAGTCTCAAGATGTGTTGCACGCTAGCTGTCCAAAACAACCGCTTTTCTCAATCACCGACGCAAGTTTTACCAACCAAGTTGGCGTCTTCAGGTGATGAAATAGTTTTCCTAATCTTCTAAAGACGCCAATTTGGTAGGTGAAACGGGCGTCAAGAAGAGTGTTGCATTTCTGTTGATTTTGAAAAAGTGCTCGTTTCCGGATTTATTCTACGCCAGAGGTTCCAGTTTCACCATTTACATACCATGTAACTAACATAGAAACAGGTTGAATCGTCAAAAGTGTGGTGAAAAATCAATTTTGAAGCCATTTCGAACTCATTCTGAATCATGAGTGGAAGTCGTAGAGGGATTACAATCAATTCCATATGGAAATGATCAATGGACTGTTTTTCTTTCGAAACTATTTTTCCTTACCCGTGTTTCAAATGTCTAAAAATTAATATTCTCAAATTCTTGAAGGAAAAGTTCATAGGAGATCAGAACTCGATAAAACATACCTACGCTTATTGTTATAACGAACCTTTTGATAGCGGAGACATATAATGGAGATGAACACTTGCCCCTCCCGCAGAAAGTCCTGTAATCGTTACGGATTCTGGATTTCCACCGAAGTACTCGATGTTATCTCTGATCCACTGCAAGGCTAGTACCTGATCTTTCAATCCATTGTTTCCGGGTACGATGTCATCTTCGGTGCTAAGGAAGCCTGTAAAATACAGTCATAATGCAATATATTCATTCTCTACACAAAAAAAGACTGAAAATTATTTCAATGCAGAAAGTGTAGCTATTTTCTTCTTTCATTATTTACTTCACAGTACGGTTCATAAATGATAGATATTTTAAATAGAACAAGGGTGTAATTATGTTATCACATTTGAAATGGTTTTTATTCTCAACCCACTAAAATATATAAACAAAAATGGTAGATTCATTATACCAATTTTAACAAAGAGTGGTTTGCAATGTTCCCTCAGGCGTACCGCCATTATTAAACTTACTGCTTTTTTTTGAATGGCGAAGGTTTCTTGTGCCTTGGATGTAGCACCACAATGAATTAATTAATAGTAGATGACTTCAAGAGAGAGTGTGTTTTTCAGTTGACGGACTAGAAATATGTTTACTAAGCTTGCATTTCATATACCCAATATGATTGATCCAGATGAGTTTAAAATCAATATTGATTTCTAGGTATCTTATGTTGGAGACTTGTCAAATTGACGTGTTGTTCAGTTTCACTAAGTAACTTCTATACATATTGAAGCATTTTTTGTAACAAAATTAGTCATTTGGGTTTTGGTTGTATCGAAAACAAGTCAATGTATGAGCATTCATTTAAATTGAGCCTCAGTTTATGTTTATTAAGCCAAATGAGAATTGCATCTGAAACAATCTTCATATCAATTTTCATTTTATGGTAACTGTCTGAGAATTATATAATACTAGTATCATCAGCAAATTATTTGATTATACCATTCAATTTCAAATCGGCTAGAGAATTAATATAAATAAGGAAAGTAAATTGATGGATGTAGCCTTTACTAAGTGGTAGGAAATCATAATGAGGAAAAGAGAATTGGAATTTTCTGTTTTTTACCACTTTTATTTGTAACTAAAGTTACTGCAGTTTCGTCCTATAAGGATATTTTCAAACTTATACAATAAACTAACAATGGTTTATTACATTAGCTCTTATATACCACTCCTGTAGGTACTAATAGAGGTACTTGGCTTGATTGAGTAACTGAATTTACAGTTTACAATGCGGATGTGCCAATTTGAAAACCGGTGAGTAAACTAAATCGATTTGATCATTTAACAGGTTGCACCCGCAATGTTTATGCTTGTGAATTTCCAAGTATTCTAAATAATCGAGTTTGTAACCCTTCCTTGCATAGTGCAAAATTTCCGTATCGTTTAGATTCGGAAACTTGTGGTTGCATGCCAAGGAATGGTTTGAAAACGTCGAATCATTTATTCCTAGTCTGAAGGACCTTTCATGTTCAGCATACTGTTTTTGTAAATTTCGACCACATTGTTCCACATAAAGACTATTACACTCCGGGCATTTGAGCTTATAAACTCCAGATTTCTCCAACTTGTCCACCTTATCTTTGGCATTGAAAAGGAAATGAAATAACCTGGCATGTGGTCTGAATGCTACTTCCACATTGTTTTTTCTGAAGAAACCCGCAATTATATTCGTTCTTTTTTCAAAATATGTTAGAGTTACCCATTTCTTGATTTCTGGTTGTTTGATCAAAGGATATATTAATCTATAAGTGAATTTACGGCTTTTTTTCTGACTAACTTCTGGATAGAATCTGCGTTGATACCATTATTATGACCTATCTGTGTAATTATATCAATTTCCCCAACTAGATTGTTAGCAGACAAAGGCACAGATCAATTTCTTAGACCTGACCATGACACACAATCAGAATAAATTTTAGTTCAATGTTTTTAGAAAACCTAGCTATACAGACATTACCATCACAATCGATTCTTTCCATCCAGACAGTCATAAATTAGCAGCCTACAATTCAATGTTGCACAGAGCATTCTCACTGCCTTTGTCTGCTAACAATCTTGTCAGTGAAATTGATATAATTAGGTCATAATAATCGTTTCAACGCAGATACTATCCAGAAGTTAGTCAGAAAACAAAGTTCACTCACATACTAATATAGTCTCAGGTCGAACAACCAGAAATCAAGAAATGGGTAACTCTAACATATTTTGGAAACAGAACAGAGATAATTGCGGGTTTCTTGAAAAAAAAAACAATGTGGAAGTGGCATTCAGAACACATGCCAGGTTATCTGATTTCCTTTTGAATGCCAAAGATAAAGTGGACAAGTTGGAGAAATTTAGAGTTTATAAGCTTAAGTGTCCAAAGTGTAATAGTGTTTATGTGGGACAATGTGGTCGAAATTTCCAAAAACGGTATGCTGAACATGAAAGGTCCTTCAGACTAGGAAAAAATGATTCGACGATTTCAAACCATTCCTTGGCATGCAACCACAAGTTCCCGAATCTAAACGTTACGGAAATTTTGCACTCAGCAAGGAAGGGTTACAAACTCAATTATTTAGAATCCTTGGGAATTCACAAGCATAAACATTGCGGGTGCAACCTGTTGAATGATCAAATTGATTTAGTTCACTCACGGGTTTTCAAATCGGGACATCCGCATTGTAAACTGTAAATTCAGGTACTCATTCAAGCCAAGTACCTTATGAATGAATGAATGGGTGAAACAGCAAATAAAATCCTCTCGTTAATAGCCAAGCGAGTACTGAGTTGCGACAATATTAAATATTATTATTATTATTATACAAAAACGCTACAGGGTGTTAATTTGAAAACTTCCCACCCTCAATATCTTCCTTCCAGTAAACAATATGAGGAATCGAAAAAAACATCAGTTATATTGTCAAGCAAGACACTTTCAAGGACTATTTGTAGCCCTTGTAGAATAGCAAAATCAAAAATATTCGGAATGTCGAAAAATGAGAAAGGCAATAAGGAACAAGTAAAAATTGACATATATATGAAATTGATTCGAACTCATTTGATCAATACAAAAATCGTTGAAAATATCCGCATTTAAATAATAGAATATGGTGAAAAACAATAACAAGTCGACCTAAACATTTCTGGAATTATCATTGCAGGAATATGACATGAATGATGATAAACTGATTTCAATGAAAACCATAAACAACTAAAAAGCACGATAAGATAAATTCACTGAATATATTTCCATAGACGATACATATGTTAATTTCAATGAACTTGGCATATTTACCTACTAACAGTAAGACAACTGAAAACCACTTTGTGCAATATACGGCACTATAAGGTACAAACAACAAAATGTTCAAAGTTGTATGTTACCAAATTTAATGTAACATAAGTTGAATCTTCTTGAGATTCCAAAGCATATGAAATGAACAAGAAGAAGTCCGAATTGACAGAAAGTCAATTTTCTATGATTTATGAGAAATATTTATATCCTCATAACATATAACATTCATATAACATAAATCATATATAGCATTATTGTATGGTAATTTTTCAGTTATTCAATTACTCAGGATCCATACCAAATATTTTATTTCATATGCAAGCGCTGCAAGAAAAAATTAAAAGCTCTCAGAGAGTGGCGATTTACCTACGCTCATAACCTCAAATAGCTATTTATGATTTTTTCAGCATGTCAAATACATCGAAATCAATATACAGACGAAAATTTTGGGAACTATCTGTATCTCGCTTGTTTAAATAACTGGGTTACCCGGCTTCCGTCAGAGAGTTGATATGGAATTGTGTGATATATTTGCTTTATATACCGTCACCAATGGGTAGCCTTAGGTACACTTACAAAAAAAAAAACTTGAATTTTCCTTTTCTAAT